ATGGTGAGTGGTGAATGAACTGGCTCCAGGCAACGAACGACAGCCATTAATTTACCAGCTAACAGGGCAACAGTTAGGCACCACAGAGGGACCCAGCCAGGTGGAGCGACAGCTGGTTACACAGATAGAAATCTTCGCCTTCACCTTTGCCTCCACAGATTCCAGAGGCGTACAAAAAATGTTTAATTACAGACTAAAGCGCTGAGTAGACAGACGGCAACAACTCGCATATTGACCCAGCCAAGCGGAACGTGTCGAGTACGGTTAACTAACTGAAATAGCAATGAACCTGCTCGCCAGCCGTGCCTCGAACCCTTTGACGCAGCCAAAGCCGAATAAAGGACAGGTGGATGGATGTAAAGATAGCAAACGCCATTAGCATTCCGTTCTATATGTGTCGAATACTCATGGCTTTGACATACGTGGGTCACATGTGGGTGCTGACGCGCTCTCTATCGGCGGACCAACGGGACGGAGTTGTTGGAGCTGTCCGCCCATATGAACGTTGTCGTTGGTCGACCTCGGCTGTTGACTTCTCCACTTTGACGAAATTAAATCTGAAATGCTAATAAGATGAGCACGGCTTGTGCTTTGAGCTTGAATAGTCCAATTGAATTTGCTCTGCTGTCTGTGGCTCATTTATTTTCTTTTTCTGAATACCCTGCACATTTATAAACTGAGGTATCTGTTGTGGAGCCAAATCCTGTCGAAATGTACATTTGCCCTGTATGACTCTAGATGTGACTGTTTCTTTTAAATGATAATTTATATATAAGATGTGCTAAGATTGTGTGTGGCCTCTTAATTAATCTCACCTTGACTTTGCAAGTTTGTGTGTCAAGCTTAAGTTTATTTATGAAGTGCCACTGTCAAAATGCGAGTTCTTCACATTTTAACCTCTGTCTTATAAAATGAATGCGAAGACAGCGCCCTACCCTAAGCTCTTAAATTAAATTACTGAATCATCAAGTTTCACTTATTTTTATTTTTGCCGATCAGTGTAAGCATATCACAGCTCATCAATTCGCTGAGTGCATATGTACACCTTTAAATAAATTTTTCTCCTCTATTTAGCAGACAGCGGCATTCAGTAATTACGGTTTTTGGGGTTTGATCTTGGCAGCTAGCTTAGCTTACATTTATATCAACAGATATACATAGAGAGTACGATTCCGAGGTAGAAATTGAGTTTGTTATGACGGAAGTAGTTTCTCTTTTTTTTCTGCTTGATTAAAGTAGGGCAGTGGATGATCAGAAGGTTGGTGCGATGTGCATCATTAGGCCCGCATTTCGAAATAAGAGTGCTAACCTAATTATGCTTCAATAGGTAAATATAAATATATGTATAAGGTAAACTGAATTGTTATACATTAGTAAATAAGTTGTGTATCGTTGAACAGACTTAATATACAGTTAAAGATATGCAAATTAAAATACACCTAATTGACTCGGAAAAACTTCACTTGTGTATTTGAGATCCGATTAAGAGTTAAGTTATTATCACTTGACTGTATAACTCATGTCGAGGTTCTTTTCCAGCGGTAGCAGAACTACTGCTGTTGCAGCTTTAAAGTGAAACACTTTGGTAATTGCTAGCTTATATTCTTAGTCAGCGCGTCCGTTCAGACATCGCAGTCAAACTGTGAGCTGTGGTGGGTGGAAGCACGTTCCCGGGCTTGTAATGCGAATGGAGAGGGTTGAGTGGGGAGTGTAGACTGGTAGCCAAAGCCCGGCTAACAGTATCACGATTATGCACAAAAGCCCACTCTGCTAAGCTAAATGTGAAACATCGCGCAAATAAAACAAATGTAAAATGTGATGGCTCAAGGTATGTACGGTATATAAGAGCGCCAGGTTGACTGCTCTCCTCTGCTTTCTTCAATGTTCTCGCCTTCTCTTTCCCAATCGCATTTCGCATCTCGTTGGGAGAGATGACATCTGTCTGCGTGTCTGTGTCCTGAGGCCAGTGAAGGGACCAGGACCTAGCAAAAAAGGTTCCACTATGCAGCTTTGACATAATTAAACGCATTTCAAAGATGAAGATGTCGTTGGCATGGCCGGGCTGAGTGAGGAGGTGGTTGATCCCTGCTGTGTCACGACGGCTCTCTATATAGACATTCTTACTTATATATGTATGTAGATAGTCGTATATAAGGTGATTAAGGTGTGGTAACGTTGCTTACGATGTGCGTCTACGTCGGCCATTCGCAGATGCTGATGCTGATTATGTAGACCAATGATGAAGATGAACTGTGGCTGGCTTATCAATATTACGTATACGCAGGGGGCTGCAGCTTAAAAAGATTTTTGCGGCACTTCAGGCATTTCTGTCATTTCATTTCAGTTATTTAGCTAAGCCTCAATTTAGTTGATGGTATTTTCAAATGTCAGCCACTGTTGTTGTTGTTGTTGTTGTTGTTGCTACTATTATTATTTGAAGGCTTTGTGCGGTCATTTTTCTTTCGTAAGGTAGATGCAAACGTATTTGTTTGTCTTACTGGGATGCGGTCAAGAACTCTATGGCTGCTGTTGTTGTTAAGCATAAATTATGTGGACATTTAGCTGGGTCAGAGCGTTTCAGATGCTGATTATGTGTCGCCTGGTGCTAGACAACGGCACATTATGTATACGAGGCGTGCACACACATATGATTTTTCTGCTTCGGCTACGGTGTTGTTGTTGTTATTGTGCCTGTTACAGTTGTTAGTGTCTGCCAACATGACCAGAGAAATGAAATCGAGGCGTTGATATATTTCTAGTTGTTGGCGTAGTTTGTAACCGCCTACGGGCCACGTTGATAACTCTGATGACGTTGATGAAAAACTTTTGATTGATGTGGTGACAAAAACTTTATGCTGTCATTAGGCACAGGCAAAACAGTGCGAAACGGGAGAGAAAAAGGGGCGAGAAGGTCAGCGGGGGCCTGCAAAGGGTTTGTTTGGCACATGCACATATAAATATGTAGGTCGGCTTATTTACCGCCAGCCACATGGTGGCAAAGGTCTCAAGTTGCTGGCGTAACAAATGACAGTCGGCAAAGTTGTTTACGCCACTTGAGCGACTAAAACTTTTGTTTATTAATTAATTGAAGGTTCGTGCTTGAGCTGAGGGCGTTAACTTTTATGTACTATATACTAGAGTGTTGTGAACATCAAAATAAAAGTATTAATACATGTGCTGATAATACATTCTAATGCTCAAATATCTTATTGGCCATTCTCTTCTTAAACTTCATCTCGATTGCTAAAAACAATTTAAAGCTGCTTAAACTATTAGGGGCAATAAGTTCCTTCATATCCTATGCATTACACTCATAATAATAAATTTGCCAACTTGGTACATAATGAAATAATTAATTAAATGTAATACCTATTTGACTAACTCGGTTAGCAATATTAACACATTGGCTTCGGTGCAGCACCTGGCAACCTGGCAACCCTGCATGCGGCACACTGCTTCGAGTAGAAACTGTTTTTTGGCTTGTTCTTTTTCTGCAGCAAGTGCTTTTTACCTGTGGCATAGTCGCACGGCCATTGTCGTCGATGTTGCTGTTGTTGTTATTGTTATGAAGCTCTCTCGGCATGGCCATTTATTACAGCGTGCTGCAAGCAACACAACAATGCCACACAGTTTTCTTGTTTCCCTCTGCCTTTGCTTTTGCCTTTCCCGTTGCCGTTGTTGCTATCGTTGCTGCTGCTGCTGTTGCTGCTGCTGCTTCTGTTGTTGCTGTTGCTCTTGCCTTTTCTCACTCTAGTCACACTGTGCACTTTTCAAACTTTTCTCGTTATTTTTGCACATTCGTTTGCTTTTTATGGGCACTGCTACACTAATTACCTTGTTTTTCGGAGAATTAACTTTTCGATTACTGTTGCAGCAACAAGAACAGCGAACAGCAACATCTAAATACATGCCGAGCACTCACAGCAACTCACAAGTGCAGTTTGGAAAAAGTTTGCAACTATCGATGTGAAATAGCAGTCAAGAAACCGAAAAAAAAAAAAACGTAGCAAAAAAATCAACACGAATACACTCCAGTACCAAATGTGTGTTGCCTTTTGCTGGCTTTGCTTAAATGAACTTTCAACAAGCTTTTGAAAATTATGAAAATATGCTAAGAGCGACACATCAGGCGCATTGCATTGCACTAGGCGGTTTGCTTCCATACCCGGGCGAGCAAAGTGGAAAAAGTTTCAGCTAGCTGCATAAAAAAAAGTTGCAAAAATTGGCTATCAGAAAAGGGCCTCTAGCATGACCTGCTTTAGTTGTGGCTGACTTATCGAAGGTGCTGTAATTGGCTGCCCAGTTGAGTTTTCTCTGGCTTCCAGAGAAAAGTGTGCCAGTTCCTGCGCTCGTGTTGACATTGTGTAAAGTGCTCTGATTAATTTACATTTTCTTACAATTTCAAAGGCTAAACATTCTCACAGTTTTCATACTTGTTGGTCATGTTTGGCATGTGGTCCTTGCTAGTTAGTAAGTTACATTTTCACAATGCCTCAAGCTGTTTAAATTAATTTAAAATTGAAAACGATTGAAAAAATGCTTTAAATTGAAACATTAAACGGATGACTTTAATATTTGCTAAAGTAATTTAAATAACCATATAATCTTCCGCATTATGGTATTGGCGAGTATTTATTAATTTGCAACTGTACATATAGCGGTGCGCATTAATTGTTGTTGAATTATTCTTCACAATTCTTTATGTTTTGGCTTGCAGCGCAGAACATATAAAAAATCGGTTGAAAGGGATTTCCCTTTTTTCGTAGTTGTATAGCAAATATGTATATAGAGCACAGAGCTGGACAGCTTACAGAATTTTTTTAGGTTAATTATTTAACAATAAGGCTATTATAAAAATAATGCATATACATATATAAGCTATTTTAATTAAGTTACAAAATATTACAAGATTCAATTTCCTTTAAGGTTGTTAATTAAAACTGCATTCGTATTGTTTTATGAAACTGATCTCTAATCTATTTTATTTTTGTTGCTTTCAGAAACTATATTGAATTATCAACATGATGCGCTTCGAAGGTATGTAAATAAATATACAAGTAATTGTCAAAGTTCTGTGAAATTCTAATTTCATTCATGTCTTGCCCATTAAAGTGAGATCTTCAGTTTATGTACTTGAGTAGCCAGTACAAGGCTGGTTTTTGCATTATTGTTCAAGTCTCAATAGTTTTTCTTCAGTCAATTACATTGCAGTTTTGAGTTCAGCTAACTAAGCTGGCCATTAACTCAGCCGTTAGTGCAAACGTTTCTGCAGCTTGCAAATGTAATTACAATTCATTTTTCTCCAAGTAGCATCCATTATCTCGGGCTGTCCATAACAGTTTGTTGCACAGTCGTCGCTAATCTTGGCCGACAAGTTGGCCTTCTCGCCCCCGTTGGCATTTGCGTCTCCTGCTCCGTGGCTCTGGCTCTGGGTCTGGCACGGTCTCTGGCTCTGACTGTTTAAATGTCAGTTAAAATCCCATAAATTCTCCTTAAATGACTTCTGTCTGCCGCAATTTTGTTGCCACGTCTAAGAAAGTCCAAGGAAAGGCAAAGAATTACAGCAAAGCTGAATCTAGAGCTGTAACTGAAGCCGAAGCTGAAGCTGAAGCAGAGGCTGAATTAACTATTAGGGGGAAATCACCAAATCCTTTGTCGTAAATAAAATTTCATTTTTCTTCTTGCCGGAAGATAAGAATATTTCCCGTTGTCCCGTTGCCAAAAGTCACAGCCGCTTGCAACATCGACTTACTTGCTGTTGCCACTTTCAAGCTGCGAGTGCAACGGTAGCCGTTGCGAGCATTGTGTCCGGTGTATAAACAGGACATGCCAGCGGGCACTGGACAATGCCAAAGCAAACGGTTGCCAACTCCAACGAAAGCTGGCAAATGACGCCAGTTTGCAAGTTCTGCAATTGGTTCAATAAACTCATTAAATGCGCCCAAGTTTTTGCCATATATTTTGGTGCCGCACGAACTTTTGCGGGCTCGCCCAAAAATGGCGGTCATTCGGTCGCCTTGGCTCGTTTTCAACTTGTCGCATTATCCTTTTTATTGTTGCCGGCGTTGCAGCACATTATCCACGGACATTTGTTTCTTCTTTCAATTCCTTTCGCCAAGTTTTTTCGTAACTTTCAATAAAGTTCGCAATGTTTACGCCAGAGAAAGGCTAAACAAGGCCAAATTAATGAAAAGTTGAAACACTACTTTTATAAATGATATTGAATATTCCATTTACAATGCTTAAGCAAATTGAATGAATACAAACTCGAGCAGTTAAATTACATTTACATTATTAAGTGGCCAACAAAGGGTTAAGAAGATTTCAGATTTGCTTTAACGAAAATGTATTGATGGTGCTTGTATTTAAACCACAGAAAAGTTATTCCTGTAAATTGATTTTGGTTATCCACAATTCCACTCTGTTGTTTACTCATATAACTTGCAAACACGCACACAGATTTTTATAGTTTGTTTGCCATTCATAAACATTTTACTCATGGCGCGTGTTCTTCATAGCTTATCGAGTAAATAAATATAAATAAATAAAATGAGTTAGCTTAGTATTAAAAAAGAAACAGTATATATTTTTGGTTATGAGTGTGCGGTTTAAAAAATATTTATTAAACTCGAAGTTTTGCAATATCTGTTATATGAATTTTTTCTGACTAAAAAATAAATAAATATAGTTTAATAAAATAAAATTTCCTTGGTTGATCTAAAGTAGTTATTCACTAAGAACTAGAATATCTACCTTCCCATTGCATGGCAAATATAACATTTCGTATATGCATAACTTGGAAAGGATTCGAAATCCAATTATTTTTATATTTTATAATATTTTGTTTGTTAATTTCCAAAGATTTCGGTATGCAAAATATAAAGAAACATGTTTTTCAATTCATTTTGTACACATACAGAAAGCGTGTAGAGTGTCCGTCTCTTGCTTATTTCACATCTATTTTGGCATTTAAATATTTGGTCATAAAAGTCATTTAACTTATTTGCCGCTGTTGAGCCTTGTCGTTGTCCTTTTGCCAAGCTGGGACAAACAATAAATTTTGTGAAAATTTGGCCACATTTTAATTTGTGGTTCAGCGGCGAAACCCGAGGCAACAGCAGCAGCAGGAGCACCACCACCAGAACCACACCCAGAACGAGAAGCCACCATCAACCAGCCTTAACACCTAGGCTCTGGCATGGGACTAACCACAAAATTCATCGTTGCTGGTAACCCAGAAGGCAAACCGAGGAGAAACCGCCGCGTTGCATTCCTCAAATTGCAGAACGCGAACTGAGAGCGGGAGCTTTGAGGGCTGAATACGAAAAATGAGTGTCTCTGGCTGTGGTTTCACACAAATAAGCGTATGTGTGTATCTGGGCCTGAGCTTTGTGGCCTCGCAAAAACGTGCAGCAAAATTGTCAATTTATTTTTTATGCCTTCTTGAAATTTACTGCGATTTTCGTTTTCCAGAAAATAAAAAATAGAAATAAAAATAAACCAACAACATAAGCAGGCAGAGGCTGCAGTTTGCGCTGCTGCTTTCGAGGATGCCAATTTGTCAGCTGGCACTTTTTGGTGGCATTGCAAAAATTCTTTATGAAAACTTTGTTTACGACAATCAACTCATGCCTGCCTCAAGCTGCCCGCCTGCTGCCTGCCTGTTGGCCCTGTAGCCTTGTATTGAGTTGACAATATTTTTAATAGAATCTCTCCACGCCCGAAAAACTTTGCTTTTCGCAAATTTGCAGCCACTGCTGCATTGTCCCAGCCGTAGTGCCACTCCCAGACACAGACCCAGGCTCAGACCCAATCTCAGTCCCCATTCTGGGCCACATTATAGAAGGAAGCGCAGCGAATGCCATCAGGAGGGAAGGCAGCTCTTCTGTTTGTGTTTCAATTTGTATGCCTTTTATGGAATTATGCACTTTTGTCAGCTTGCTGCAGTTTTCGCACAATTCGCTGCATAACTTTCGAAAAAAAAAGAAAAAAGCGGAATGCAATTGAGTTTAACTTGAGGGACAAACACAATAAAAAAAGGTTGCCAACATTTGTTTGCATCTCCTATCAGCGCAGCTTGTAGAAAGTTATAATATTAACTTTTAATGCAACGGTATCGAACTATACATAAACAGCGAGTACAAGTTAAGCAAAGTGTAACAAAGATTAGCCTTTACAAAATGCTAACATTTTGTCATAAACAAAATCGAGAGTGTTAAACAAAGCGACGGGGTACTAGAACTGGGGAAGAAATCTATAAAAAATAAATTCTGCAGTAGTATAGGTTGACAAGAGTTTATTTAGCCTGATTAACGGCGGGTTAATCACTGAGTGATGGGCGGGAAGTCTCCAGGGTCATTTTAATCAAGTGGATCGAGTTGGAAAGTAACGTATTGTAAATTTATTGAAATCATAAATTTAGTATGCTTCTTACCATAAATAACATATATTTTAGTTTCGATTCTACAATCCTTAGCTCAAACAGTTCATACGATCATACAGTGGCCTTAAATTTATTATCAAGAGAAATGTTAAACACCAGAATTGTTTATATTATTCATGTTAATTAACAAACTATTAAATATCTTCAGTACCCCATTTTATATTCTACTCTAGTTTAGTGTTACTTTTTAACATTTCTAGCTTTAAGCAATGTCACGAAAATAATCAATCAGCTTAGTTTAAATTTTGCATTCAAGAAGTTCCATTTTACTCCTCGTTTCATATGGCCAGATCCGGATGTTAATGTTAATTAAAAATTCTGTTTGCAATGGCAAACGACTGTCTAACTGTGTTGGTCTTACGATTGCCATTAAAAGTGTTAGCGGGCGATGGCGGCGAATTTCGCATTCGCTTACATTTTGCCATTAAGCGTCGAAGTCTGTAGCCCATCAATTTCTGCAAGTAAGCTAGCTGCTTTTTGCCAGGCATTATCCTGGCCGTCCTGTGCAATGCAATAAAAGTCGAATACGCGCACTTTGCAATTTCAATTTGCTTTCTGCTGGCTCTTGGCTGCTGGCTGCTGGCTGTTTCCTGCCGACTGTCGACTGCCTGCTGCTTGCTGCTTGCTGCTGCCTCTGCTCGTTATTTGTGTTTGCCGCTCATTAAAAGCTGTCAATTGTTTCTCTTTGGCATTTACAACCTGCTTAACTACATTAAGAGTGCATATTCTTATGGTTCCCCTATCTCATATATGGCGCCCGCCTCAAATCCTTTAAGAGCGCTCAGCCGTAAAAAGAAAATTCCCATCTTAGTGGCTTTAAATTAAACTTCTCCACTGCATTTCTGCGACTATAAAACTCATCCAGTTGTTTTTCTCTCCTCTTTCGCTTCTTTTGACAATTTGTAATCGCACTCCTTGCGGCAATTTTATAGCCCGTCCCGCAAGCAACTCCGGCCAGCTCTGCACCTATTGTGTGAAAATCCAGGCAGCCATAGAGTGTGGCATAAAGCACAGATGATATACGCTTCAAGGGTGATCAGTGCGTGCGCCTGGGCTTAGTTTGTTATGGCTCAGCCTGAAAATCGGGAATGGCCGTTTTGTGGCTTGGCTGCATCGTCTGCCTTGGGGCACCTCTGAATGGGATTGTGCTCGGGAGTGAACGGCGATAGATGACAATGAATGGAGTATTGCTAGAGCCGGGTATGTTTTATGCAAACTAAAGTAGCTAATTTCGGCTCCAAATAACAAAATATAAGCTTTAATAAAAGTTTCTATGGCAGAAGGATGCACTGAACCATATGGCATTTACGAAGCATTTAAATATTATCTCTTACTAAATTGCTCTATGCGTCCTTACTTCATAAGCTTTTGGCTTTTGTGCTCCTGGATTACACTCTATTATAGTACGAGACATACAGCTACTTTTCTGCTTTAGCTCTGACATTCTTTACCCCAGTCTCGCCGCTGTCAAGTTCAATGCTCTAAGCTCCTAAGCAGCTCTACAGCTTCCATCCAGCTACATATACACATCCACGCCCACACACACACACACACACACACACACAGAATTTCTCAAGCATCCATAAAAGACATT